CAGGGTCACCCCAAGGACGACAGTGTATTGTCGTTTATTGTCGTTGATATGCATAAAAAACACATTATACTCTCATATCTATGCCTAGCCATGGCAGCAGAGAACACGGGCATATGATGAATCGGATCTGTGGACCAATACAACTGCAATTCATTTTTTTTTAGTAATGCTCATGTTGAGGGTTAGACTCCAAAAAAAATGTAAATTCAGAAACCGTAATGGGTTTCCATGCGAATGGTCTGGCAAGGTTTGAATTTGAGTTGGTGGCGACAAATTGTTGTATGTAAATTGCTTTGATCCACAATCAATGCATACAGATCTTCCGTGAAAAACAGCTCCACAAAATCAAGGGGAGTAGTTAAATTTGCTGTTTCATACTGAATTCCAGGTTGGGCAGTGGATGGGGGAAGTATGAGTGCTGCAGAATTTGTGGGCTGCCAATCGGGATTTTTGCATGCACATCCGGAAGGATACTAGGGGCTCTACGGGCCTGTGTGCTACGTCTTGGTGGTTGCGGGGCAATACTTGTGCTTGCCACCGCACCAGCTTGTACTACACTTATGGGACTCGCCACGTCACCAAGTAATACTGCAGTGCTGGTATGTGAAAGACCAGGATGTACTAGGCGCTGGTGCTCGCCAGTTTACCAAAAGGTTACGTGGCACTAGTACTGGCACTCTGCTGCATATGAGAGTCATCAAAATTTACTGACAAGTGCTAGCAGAGATCAGGCCTGATTCTGCCAACACTGCGGTTTTGTGTGCAATGTACCAAGTGACATTGACACTGTACTAATTGCACTGGGGAGGAAGGGGTTAACATTTGGAGGCAATCAAAGGGTTAACTGTGTGAAGGGCGTGTTTTACTAGGGGGCGGGGGGGGGTTTTCTTCACAGTAACACACTGATCCAGAAAGCTGTGCTCAGCGTTCTGGACCAGTGTGCTCAAACTGACAGGGAGGAGAGCTGCACTGTAAATGCCGGGCTGCGGCGGGTAATCACCAGCCAGAACCCGGTGATCGACACCCGCGGCCGCGTTCTGCTGCGCTGGTAGAGCAGTGGCGCACCATGCGTGCGCCCCTTACCCAAAAATGCGAAATCATTAGAGATGAGCGAAGTATTCAAAAATTCGATTCAACTGATTCGGCGAATTCGTGGACAATATTCGATTCGAGTCGAATATATTCGCTGTGAATTTAACTTAAAAAAGGGTGTTTCTAGGCTTCAGAGAGACTTAATATTAGTGCAGAACACTGTACCTTTAATTTAAATGCCCTTGGAGTCTGCTGGGGAAGAGAAATAATACTGTCAGTCAGTATGACATGCAGATGAGTGCCGTCGATCTTAGAATCACCGCACACTTCACTCATTTGGCCAGTCACGGGGGCCAAAACCAGTGTTTGGAGCCACAGTGTGGCGGTGGAGGCAGCAGCAATGGGAGGCCATACAGCAACCTATGACAAAATGGAAACCAGCAGGAGTGTGAGGAGACCTCAAAGTGGCACATGGCAGAGTGGGAGCAATGGGAGGCGGTACAGGGACCCATGTCACACTGTGGACCCAGCAGCAGCGTGACCAGGCGGTACGGGGGCCCATGGCAGATTTGGGGCCTGGCAGCACCTATGGGAGGCCTGTAATCTGCCAGCAACCTATGACAAAATGGAAACCAGCAGGAGTGTGAGGAGACCTGAAAGTGGCACATGGCAGAGTGGGAGCAATGGGAGGCGGTACAGGGACCCATGTCACACTGTGGACCCAGCAGCAGCGTGACCAGGCGGTACGGGGGCCCATGGCAGATTACAGGCCTGGCAGCAGCAATGGGAGGCCCGTAATCTGCCAGCACCCTATGACAAAAAATGGAACACACCAGCAGTGTGTGAGGAGACCTGAAAGTGGCACATGGCAGAGTGTGGCGATGGAGACAGCAGCAATGGGAGGCCGTACAGGGACCCATGAGAGACTGTGGACCTGGCAGCAGCATGAGGAGGCGGTATGGGGCCCATGGCAGATTAGGGGCCTGGCAGCAGCTATAGGAGGCCCGTAATCTGCCAGCACCCTATGACAAAAAAAAATTCAACACACCAGCAGTGTGTGAGGAGACCTGAAAGTGGCACATGGCAGAGTGTGGCGATGGAGACAGCAGCAATTGGGGAGGCCGTACAGGGACCCATGAGAGACTCTGGACCTGGCAGCAGCATGAGGAGGCGGTATATAGGGGCCCATGGCAGATTAGGGGCCTGGCAGCAGCTATAGGAGGCCCGTAATCTGCCAGCACCCTATGTCAAAAAATTCAACACACCAGCAGTGTGAGGAGACCTGAAAGTGGCACATGGCAGAGTGTGGCGATGGAGACAGCAGCAATGGGAGGCCGTACAGGGACCCATGACAGACTCTGGACCTGGCAGCAGCATGAGGAGGCGGTATAGGGGCCCATGGCAGATTAGGGGCCTGGCAGCAGCTATGGGAGGCCCGTAATCTGCCAGCACCCTATGTCAAAAAATTCAACACACCAGCAGTGTGTGAGGAGACCTGAAAGTGGCACATGGCAGAGTGTGGCGATGGAGACAGCAGCAATGGGAGGCCGTACAGGGACCCATGACAGACTCTGGACTTGGCAGCAGCATGAGGAGGCGGGGGTATAGGGGCCCATGGCAGATTAGGGGCCTGGCAGCAGCTATGGGAGGCCCGTAATCTGCCAGCACCCTATGTCAAAAAATTCAACACACCAGCAGTGTGAGGAGACCTGAAAGTGGCACATGGCAGAGTGTGGCGATGGAGACAGCAGCAATGGGAGGCCGTACAGGGACCCATGAGAGACTCTGGACTTGGCAGCAGCATGAGGAGGCGGGTATATAGGGGCCCATGGCAGATTAGGGGCCTGGCAGCAGCTATGGGAGGCCCGTAATCTGCCAGCACCCTATGACAAAAAATGGAAACACACCAGCAGTGTGTGAGGAGACCTGAAAGTGGCACATGTTTGGCATGATTCATGGCGGATTTAGTCAGTTGTGTCAGGAACTGGTGGTTTGAAATCCAGACTAATCCAATGCCTGAGGCCATTTTCACAAACGTGAGTCTCTCCACACTTTGGGTGGACAGTCGTGTCCTCCGCGGAGTTGCAATACCTCCTGCCGCACTAAAGTGTGGCGCGCTCCGATGCCACGCTACATGGCCGGGCATGACAGCCTTTCAAGGGCAAATTCAGCTAGTTGGGGCCAAAGGTCAAGTTTCGTTGCCCAGTAGTCAAGGGGATTGTCTACCTCGGTTTGGCAGGGAGGCTGTCCAAGTAGGCCAAGCCTGTTGTTTGAGGTCCTGCTCCAGGTCCACCTGATGCTGCTGCAGCTGACTGGCTGCTGCTGCGGCTGGTTATTAGTTTCCTCACTGCGCTGGTGAAGAAAGCTACTCATCATCGACTGCAGACTGAGGCGCTGCTGGTGAGTGGAGCTGCCACATGCTCCTACCCCCACCCCTCCCCTGCTGCCACCAGCAGCAGCGGAACGCGCGAGCGCACAGGGCCCCACAGTGTCTGAGGATGGACGACGTTGGGCAGACAGGCAGAGACCAGCTGACTACATAGGTGGTTTTTATAGTACGTTATTTTGGCCTCCCTCTCAGCAGGTGTGAAAAAGGCCACCATTTTTGGAACGGTAGCGAGGGTCCAACAAGGTGGACAGCCAAAAGTCATCCCTCTGTCTGATGGTTATTATTCGGCTGTCGGTACGCAAGCAAGCGAGCATGCTATGGGCCATTTGTGCCAAGGAATGCGAGGGACTCCCTGCCTCCATCTCCACAGCATACTGCCACGGTGCGTCTGGGTCCTCTGTCTCCTCTTCCTCCTCCTCTACCAGATGCTCCTGCTCCTCCACTCCTGTCCGCTGAGTGGAAAAACCACCCATTTCACTCAATAATTCCTGAGCACCAATGTCCTCCTCTACCTCCTCCTCTTCTTCCTGTCCTGCCCCCACAGGGGTCATGTGGCGTTGAGATCTGTGCGCCAGTCTCTACCGCACCCTGACCAGCCATTATTAACAGCATTTGTTCCAGGACGTGCAACAGAGGAATGACGTCGTTCATCCCATAGTCCTGCCGACTCACGAATAGCGTGGCCTCCTCAAAGGGCCTGAGCAAGCGCAGGTGTCACGCATGAAAGCTGCCAATGGCTGACATCTAAGTTACACAGGGGAGTACCTTTATCCGCTTTTAACATCAGGAAATCTGTGATGGCCTTTTGCTGTTCGTAAAGGTGGTCTAACATATGTAGGGGTTGAATTCCACCTTGTTGCAACGTCACAGCATGAGGAGTCGGTACGGGGGCCCATGGCAGATTAGGGGCCTGGCAGCAGCTATGGGAGGCCCGTAATCTGCCAGCACCCTATGTCAAAAAATGAACACACCAGCAGTGTGTGAGGAGACCTGAAAGTGGCACATGGCAGAGTGTGTGGCGATGGAGACAGCAGCAATGGGAGGCCGTACAGGGACCCATGAGAGACTCTGGACCTGGCAGCAGCATGAGGAGGGGGTATAGGGGCCCATGGCAGATTAGGGGCCTGGCAGCAGCTATGGGAGGCCCGTAATCTGCCAGCACCCTATGTCAAAAAATTCAAACACACCAGCAGTGTGTGAGGAGACCTGAAAGTGGCACATGGCAGAGTGTGGCGATGGAGACAGCAGCAATGGGAGCAGGGACCCATGGGACTCTGGGCGGTACAGGAGGGGACCCATGAGGGGACTCTGGGCCTGGCAGCAGCATGAGGAGGCCCGTAATATAGGGGCCCATGGCAAATTAGGGGGGCCTGGCAGCAGCTATGAGGAGGCCCGTGAAAGTGCCAGCATGGCCTATGTCAAAAAATTCAACGATGGAGACAGCAGCAGCATGTGAGGAGACCTGAACAGGGCACATGGCATGAGAGACTGTGGACCTGGCAGCAGCATGAGGAGGGCGGTATAGGGGCCCATGGCAGATTAGGGGCCTGGCAGCAGCTATGGGAGGCCCGTAATCTGCCAGCACCCTATGTCAAAAAATTGAACACACCAGCAGTGTGAGGAGACCTGAAAGTGGCACATGGCAGTGTGGCGATGGAGACAGCAGCAATGGGAGGCCGTACAGGGACCCATGCAGACTCTGGACTTGGCAGCAGCATGAGGAGGCGGTATAGGGGCCCATGGCAGATTAGGGGCCTGGGCAGCAGCTATGGGAGGCCCGTAATCTGCCAGCACCCTATGTCAAAAAATGGAACACACCAGCAGTGTGTGAGGAGACCTGAAAGTGGCACATGGGCAGAGTGTGGCGATGGAGACAGCAGCAATGGGAGGCCGTACAGGGACCCATGAGAGACTCTGGACCTGGCAGCAGCATGAGGAGGCGGTATATAGGGGCCCATGGCAGATTAGGGGCCTGGCAGCAGCTATGGGAGGCCCGTAATCTGCCAGCACCCTATGTCAAAAAATGGAACACACCAGCAGTGTGTGAGGAGACCTGAAAGTGGCACCAGCACACTGCGTGCGAGGAGACAGCTGCAAGTGGCCACAGGGACCCATGAGAGACTCTGGACCTGGCAGCAGCATGAGGAGGCGGTATAGGGGCCCATGGCAGATTAGGGGCCTGGCAGCAGCTATGGGAGGCCCGTAATCTGCCAGCACCCTATGTCAAAAAATTCAACACACCAGCAGTGTGAGGAGGAGACCTGAAAGTGGCACATGGCAGTGTGGCGATGGAGACAGCAGCAATGGGAGGCCGTACAGGGACCCATGACAGACTCTGGACCTGGCAGCAGCATGAGGAGGCGGTATATAGGGGCCCATGGCAGATTAGGGGCCTGGCAGCAGCTATGGGAGGCCCGTAATCTGCCAGCACCCTATGTCAAAAAAAATTGAACACACCAGCAGTGTGTGAGGAGACCTGAAAGTGGCACATGGCAGAGTGTGGCGATGGAGACAGCAGCAATGGGAGGCCGTACAGGGACCCATGAGAGACTCTGGACCTGGCAGCAGCATGAGGAGGCGGTATATAGGGGCCCATGGCAGATTAGGGGCTTGGCAGCAGCTATGGGAGGGCCCGTAATCTGCCAGCACCCTATGTCAAAAAAATGGAACACACCAGCAGTGTGTGAGGAGACCTGAAAGTGGCACATGGCAGAGTGTGGCGATGGAGACAGCAGCAATGGGAGGCCGTACAGGGACCCATGAGAGACTCTGGACCTGGCAGCAGCATGAGGAGGCGGTATATAGGGGCCCATGGCAGATTAGGGGCCTGGCAGCAGCTATGGGAGGCCCGTAATCTGCCAGCACCCTATGTCAAAAAATTCAACACAGCAGCAGGAGACCTGAAAGTGGCACATGGCAGAGTGTGATGGAGACAGCAGCAATGAAAGTGGCCGTACAGGGACCCATGAGAGACTCTGGACCTGGCAGCAGCATGAGGAGGCGGTATAGGGGCCCATGGCAGATTAGGGGCCTGGCAGCAGCTATGGGAGGCCCGTAATCTGCCAGCACCCTATGAAAAAAAATTCAACACACCAGCAGAGTGTGTGTGAGGAGACCTGAAAGGGCACATGGCAGAGTGTGGCGATGACAGCAGCAATGGGAGGCCGTACAGGGACCCATGGACTCTGGACCTGGCAGCAGCATGAGGAGGCGGTATAGGGGCCCATGGCAGATTAGGGGCCTGGCAGCAGCTATGGGAGGCCCGTAATCTGCCAGCACCCTATGTCAAAAAATTGAACACACCAGCAGTGTGTGAGGAGACCTGAAAGTGGCACATGGCAGAGTGTGGCGATGGAGACAGCAGCAATGGGAGGCCGTACAGGGACCCATGAGAGACTCTGGACCTGGCAGCAGCATGAGGAGGCGGGTATATAGGGGCCCATGGCAGATTAGGGGCCTGGCAGCAGCTATGGGAGGCCCGTAATCTGCCAGCACCCTATGTCAAAAAAATTCAACACACCAGCAGTGTGTGAGGAGACCTGAAAGTGGCACATGGCAGAGTGTGGCGATGGAGACAGCAGCAATGGGAGGCCGTACAGGGACCCATGAGAGACTCTGGACTGGCAGCAGCATGAGGAGGCGGTATAGGGGCCCATGGCAGATTAGGGGCCTGGCAGCAGCTATGGGAGGCCCGTAATCTGCCAGCACCCTATGTCAAAAAAAATTCAACACACCAGCAGTGTGAGGAGACCTGAAAGTGGCACATGTTTGGGGCATGATTCATGGCGGATTTAGTCAGTTGTGTCAGGAACTGGTGGTTTGAAATCCAGACTAATCCACGCCTGATTCATTTTCACAAACGTGAGTCTCTCCACACTTTGGGTGGACAGTCGTGTCCTCCGCGGAGTTACAATACCTCCTGCCGCACTAAACACGCGCTCCGATGCCACGCTACTGGCCGGGCATGACAGCCTTTCAAGGGCAAATTCAGCTAGTTGGGGCCAAAGGTCAAGTTTCGTTGCCCAGTAGTCAAGGGGATTGTCTACCTCGGTTGGCAGGGTGCTGTCCAAGTAGGCCCAAGCCTGTTGTTTGAGCTCCTGCTCCAGGTCCACCTGATGCTGCTGCTGCTGCGGCTGGTAGTAGTTTCCTCACTGCGCTGTGTGAAGAAAGCTACTCATCATCGACTGCAGACTGAGGCAGCCGCTGCTGGTGGAGCTGCCACTGCTCCTCCTACCACCCCACCCCTCCCCTGCTGCCATGGCAGCGGAACGCGAGCGCACAGGGCCCACAGTGTCTGAGGATGGACGTTGGCGCACAAAGGCAGAGACCAACTGACTACATAGGTGGTTTTTATAGTACGTTATTTTGGCCTCCCTCTCAGCAGGTGTGAAAAAGGCCACCATTTTTGAACGGTAGCGAGGGTCCAACAAGGTGGACAGCCAAAAGTCATCCCTCTGTCTGATGGTTATTATTCGGCTGTCGCTACGCAAGCAACCGAGCATGCTATGGGCCATTTGTGCCAAGGAATGCGAGGGACTCCCTGCCTCCATCTCCACAGCATACTGCCACGGTGCGTCTGGGTCCTCTGTCTCCTCCTCCTCCTCCTCTACCAGATGCTCCTGCTCCTCCACTCCTGTCCGCTGAGTGGAAAAAAAAACCACCCATTTCACTCAATAATTCCTGAGCACAAATGTCCTCCTCTACCTCCTCCTCTTCTTCCTGTCCTGCCCCCACAGGGGTCATGTGGCGTTGAGATCTGTGCGCCACGTCTACCGCACCCTGACCAGCCATTGTTAACAGCATTTGTTCCAGGACGTGCAACAGAGGAATGACGTCGTTCATCCCATAGTCCTGCCGACTCACGAATAGCGTGGCCTCCTCAAAGGGCCTGAGCAAGCGGCAGGTGTCACGCATGAGCTGCCAATGGCTGACATCAAAGTTACACAGGGGAGTACCTTTATCCGCTTGTAACATCAGGAAATCGGTGATGGCCTTTCGCTGTTCGTAAAGGCGGTCTAACATGTGTAGGGTTGAATTCCACCTTGTTGCAACGTCGCAGATCAGGCGATGCTGTGGAATTCCGTTCTGCCGCTGCAGCTCAAGGAGGGGTGTGCTTTGCGGTGTAGGAATGGCTGAAATGCATGCAAAGTTTACGTGACATTTTAAGGATGTCTTGCAGTGGGATGGTGGATTTTTTAGGGAACCGCTTGACAACCAGATTGAACACGTGAGCCATGCATGGCGCATGGCACAACCTTCCTTGACGCAGAGCAGACACCATGTTCTTTCCGTTGTCGGTCAACATGGTTCCGATTTTCAGTTTGCGCGGAGACAGCCATCTGTCGATTTCTCTGTTCATTACACTGAGAAGTTCCTCCCCTGTGTGACTACGTTCGCCAAGGCATACCAGGTGCAGCACAGCGTGACACCGTTGCGCCCTGCACATGTGATATGCCGGTCGGGTAATCGGGGTAATGGGACTTTGGCACGGGGGGTGGCGGCTGAGGACACGGCGGAAGAAGAGGTGGTAGAGGCGGACATCTTTTGTGGACCAAGGACGTGCAAACGTGGAGGCAAAAAGCGGCGTGACCTGTCCAAGTTGCTGGTGCGGCTGTGACGGCACCACGTTCACCCCCAGGGGGGCCGTAAATGACATGTACTGTCCCTGACCGTAGTTACAGCTCCACACGTCGGCGCTGCTGCCGTGCACTTTGGCAGAGACCGACATGCTCAAAGACTGGCCCACCATCTCTTCTACATGTGAATGCAGGGCTGGCACTGCCTTTTTGGCGAAGAAATGACGGCTTGGCACTCTCCACCGCGGCGCGGCACAAGCCATCATTTCTCGGAAAGGTGCTGAGTCCACCACTTGGAAAGGGAGGGACTGCAGCACCAGCAACTTGGACAGGAGGACGTTCAGCTTTTGCACCGTCGGGTGCGTGCTCGCAAACTGTTGTCTCTTGGAAACGGATTCCAAGAAAGACTGCTGACGGAATCCGTGAAGAGGAGTAGCAGGAGAAGGAGCATCTGAACGAGCGGAAGATGCCAACGAGCGACAACTCCCCCTCAGCAGAGGTGTTGGAGCCTTGACTGGCTGATAGAGGGATTGACGTCGGTGACGGAGCAAGTAACGGAGCGCGGGTGATGGAGCGGGGGCTGGGGCGGGCAGAACCGCCGTATCTTTATCACGGTTTTCCCAGGCCACCAAATGGCGACGCTGCATATGCTGCCGCAACGCTGTAGTCCCAACATGGGCCCCCTGGCCACGCTTGACTTTCTGGCACATAGTCGACATACGGCTACGTTTACTTCCTCGGGCGGCTTGACGAAAAAATTGCCACACCGCCGAGTAGGAAACTTTGCCCCCGATACTCCTCACTGGCTGACTGCTGCTTCCTCCGTGCACACCGGCACCACTACTGGCCGTGGTGGTAGGCTGCAGTGGAGCTGGTGCTCTACTCCGTGGCCGTTTGGCTCCACTGACACTGCTGCGACCCTGCTGCCTCCTGGGCAACCCACCGACTGTTTCGCTCGCTGCCAAGCTGCCACCCTCTTCTCCTGATGATGCGGAAGAAATTGCCTGATGACGACGACGAGGCTGCCAAGTGCGATCAACCTCCTCATCATCAAGTAGGGTCTCCGCCTCACTACTAGCCCCCTCGGCTGCGTGTGGGTCAGGAGACAGACCTGTCTCTAGACCGGCTACCGAGCCACTCTCCTCGCCACTACTTCTTCGCCTGGCTGCTGAAAAGGCGGATGTCTCCCCCCGTTCCTGACCGCCCTCTGTTAGCTCTTCCTCACTGTACAGTGGGGGCTGAGCCCACAGCATGCGATACTTCGCTTGGTGAGGGAACACCAAAGGACAGGGGCAGGTAGAGGACACGTGATTTCAGTGGGCTTGGTCCCGGGCCATGCCAACTAACGGTTGTGTCTGACGTACCCACCGACCGTTGGCTGTGGGTGTCAGAGGTGACCTGGGAAGAGGAAGACGACCGAGCAACCAATCGATGACGGCAGGGTTGTCGGTGGAGACACGACCGCTGGATGACACCGGGAGCACTGGCCTCTGGCTGCGAATAGTGCTGCCTCGACCCCTTCCTCTGCTGCCACGTCTGCTCGCTCCTAAAAACATTGCCTCCTCTGCCACTCCTCTGCATGTTGTTCTGACATACTCTTTAATTCAACGATTCTGTGTCCCTGAGTAACAATTCTGTGTCCCTGAGTAAACAATTCTGTGTCTGTCCCTGAGTAACAATTCTGTGGCCCTAAGTAACGGTTCTGTGGTCCCTCAGTAACAATTCTGTGTCCCTCAGTAACAATTCTGTGTCCCTGTAACAATTCTGTGTCCCTGAGTAACAATTCTGTGGTCCCTGAGTAACAATTCTGTGCCCTCAGTAACAATTCTGTGTCCCCTGAGTAACGTTTCTGTGTCCCTAAGTAACGGTTCTGTGGCCCTCAGTAACAATTCTGTGGTCCCTCAGTAACAATTCTGTCTGTGCCCTCAGTAACGGTTCTGTGGCCCTCTGTAACAATTCTGTGTCCCTGAGTAACAATTCTGTGGCCCTAAGTAACGTTTCTGTGGCCCTCAGTAACATTTCTGTGTCCCTGAGTAACGTTTGTGTCCCTAAGCCCTAAGTCAGTAACAATTCTGTGTCCCTGAGTAACAATTTCTGTGTCCCTGAGTAACAATTCTGAGTCCCTGAGTAACAATTCTGTGTGTCCCTCAGTAACAATTCTGTGGCCCTAAGTAACAATTCTGTGTCCCCTCAGTAACAATTTCTGTGTCCCTCAGTAACAATTCTGTGTCCCTGAGTAACAATTCTGTGGCCCTCAGTAACGGTTTCTGTGTCCCTCAGTAACAATTCTGTGGCCCTGAGTAACAATTCTGTGGCCCAGAGTAACGGTTCTGTGGCCCTCAGTAACAATTCTGTGTCCCTCAGTAGTAACAATTCTGTGTCTGTCCCTGAGTAACAATTCTGTGGCCCTAAGTAACGGTTCTGTGGCCCTCAGTAACAAT